GATTGGAACAATCATATCTTCACACTATTCTTTCTACCTTGTACCATCATGTTGCTTATGTTTCCGTCAGGCCACAGGAGGATCGACACCAGGTAAATTTATCAACATTGATCGCCTTTGTCATGAAATCTGCTATGTTGTCTTTGGTATGGATCTTCTGCATATCTACCGTTCCTTCTTCCACCTTTTCACGAATGAAATGGTACTGAACCCGTATGTGCTTTGTCCTTGAATGAAATGCTGGATTCCTTGCTAGATGCAAGGCACTTTGACTGTCACAAAACATAGAGACATACTCTTGATTGTGCCCAAGCTCCTCTAATAGCATCTTCAACCAAATTGCTTCTTTACTGGCTTGTGTAGCTGTTACATATTCTGCCTCTATTGTGGATGTAGCCACAACAGACTGCAATTTTGAAACCCAGCTTACAGCTCCACCAGCAACTTTGAACACATATCCTGTAGTAGATTTGCTTTTATCCAAATCCCCTGCATAGTCAGAATCTACATACCCATTGATTAGTAAGTTTGATCCTCCGTAACATAATGCAATATTTGAGGTCCCTTTGATGTATCTCAGGATCCTCTTTACTATATTTCAATGCTCTTTTCCTGGATTCGCCATGTACCGACTAACCACTCCCACTTCTTGTGCAATGTCTGGTCTTGTGCATATCATAGCGAACATTAAACTTCCCACTGCTGATGCATACGGTACTCGAGACATCTTCATCCTCCCTTCTTCACTGCTAGGACTCATACTGGAGGATAATTTGAAGTTAATAGGAAGAGAGGTAGAAATTGGCTTACAATCTTGCATGCTGAATCATGACAAGATCTTCTTCAAGTAATTCTTTTGTGAAAGCCAAATCTTCCTATTACTTCTGTCTCGGTGAATTTGCATCCCTAGAATCTTGTTTGCTGATCCCAAGTCCTTCATTTCAAATTCCCTAGCCAGTTATGCCTTCAATTCTTCAATATGATCTTTGTTGGGTCCTGCAACCAACATGTCAACTACATACAACAGTAATATAACAAAATTGTTATCACCAGACCTCTTGAAATAAGCACAAGGGTCTGCATTAAGTCTGTTGTATCCAAGGCACATAATGAAGGAATCAAATCTCTTATACCAACACCTTGGCGTCTGCTTTTGACCGTACATAGATTTGTTCAACCTGCAAACCAAGTTCTTCTTTTCTTTTTCTTCAAAACCTTCAAGCTGGAGCATGTAAATCTATTCTTCAAGATTTCCATGAAGAAAAGTTGTTTTAACATCTAGCTGCTCTAGATGTAAGTTCACTGTAGCACACATTGCCAAGACTACTCGAACTGTTGTTAGTCGAACCACAGGAGAAAATATTTCATTTAAATCAATACCTTCTTTTTGAGCATATCCTTTGACCACCAGTCTTGCATGATACCTCTCAACTTGATCGTCACCATTTCGCTTGATTTTGAAGACCCATTTGTTACCAATTGGCTTCCTTCCTTGTGGTAGTGGCACAGGGTCCAATGTATTATTTTTATGAAGGGCTTCAATTTCTTCTTGCATCGTCATCATCCACAGTGAAGCATCTGAGTTGTTTATTACCTCCTGGTATGTTGATGGCTCACCGTCCTCTGTTAAAAGGCAGTATGCAATATTACATTCTATAACATAATCTGAGTGCCAATTGGGACGTCTTCTCACACTATCTGATTGACGAGTTGTTGGTGCTTCAGAACTCTCTGGTTCTTGTTCATCATGTTGGTTCTGCTTTAGAAGAATCTCCTTGTTCAAACTCTTTTTCCACATGTATCTGAGTAGTCTCTGGCGCTATCATCGTCTTCTTTTCTTTGTAGTTTATCTTCTACAAAGATAACATCTCTACTGATGATCACTTTGCGGGCAGTGGGATCCCACAAGAGATACCCCTTTACTCCATCAACATACCCCAAGAATTTGTATTTCTTGGATTTTGGATCCAACTTTGAAATTTCTTGGGAGTTATACATCACGTACACTATACTTCCAAATACATGGAGGTTTGAATAATCAGCTGGTTTTCCAGTCCACATCTCCATTGGTGTCTTCAGTTCTATTGCAGTTGATGGAGCTCGATTCACCAAATAACAGGCGATATTGACTGCTTCTGCCCAAAATGATTTTTCTAGGCCTGCATCTCTCAACATTGCTCTTGTTCTTTTTAACAAGGTTCTGTTCATCTGCTCTGCCACTCCATTTTGTTGAGGAGTGTTCGCCACTGTGAACTGTCTTTTGATGTCTTCTTTCCTGCAAAAGTCATCAAATTATTCGCTTGTGTATTCTCCTCCATTATCTGTTCTGAAACACTTGATCTTATTTCTAGAATCAAGTTCCACCCGCGCTTTGAAGTTTTTGAAAGTTGAAAACACATCTGACTTCTTTTTAATAGGGTACACCCAACATCTCGTGGAGTAGTCATCAATAAATGAGACAAAGTATTTTGCTCCACCAAGGGATGTAACCGGTGCTTGCCATACATCAGAGTGAACCGATTCTAGAACACTTTTGCCTCTAGAATTTGATGTGTTGAATTTAAACCGGTGCTGCTTACTTGTTATGCAATGCTCACATAAAGTAAGTGATACCTTTGTTAAGCCTGGAAGTAGCTTTTGCTCCACAAGGACTTTCATTCCTTGTTCTGACATGTGTCCAAGTTTCTGATGCCATAGCATTGCAGAATCTAAACTACATAAGGTAACAGAGGCTTCTGCTTCTAGCAAAGTCTCTCTCTTCAGCATGTACAAGTTTGCTGTTATCTTTTCGCCTTTCAGCACCACAAGCGCTCCACGGAACACCTTCATGATTCTTTTCCGTGTCTCAATCTTGCTTGCATTATTATCCAACAATCCGTAGGATAATAAATTTTTCTTCAGGCCTTTCACGTGCCGCACATCTCGAACAACTTTAATTATTCCATCATACATCTTTAATTTGATGGTTCCCACGCCAACAATCTCCAAGACATGATCATTGCAACTATACACATATTCTCCTGAGACATGTTCATAATGATGGAACCATTCTCTTCTTGAGGTCATGTGATATGTTGCTCCAGAATCAATGAACCATATATCTGCAAATCTTTTTCTGCCTTCCACGGTGGTTGACGCTTCATAGCATAGAGCATCTCCATCATCTGAAGTGTTTGCGGTATTACCTTGTGGATTGGAGTTTTTATTTAGACTCCAACAATCCTTCTTCAAGTGATCATTCTTTCCACATTTGTAGCACTTTAAATTCTTCTTGCTCCTCGACTTCGATCTACCATGTTTGTGACTGCTGCTTTGGCCACGTTCTGTTGATCTCCCTCTCATCGTTGTCAACGCTTCTGCTTGTTGCAGATTTACTTGTCTGTCTTCCTTGTTCTTGCGCCAATTTTCTTCTTGTAGAACAGCAGCTGCAACGTCATCGAAGACTAGACTGGTGACATTACTGTTTGTCAAGTTGATGATGAGTTGATCATACGAATCAGGTAGACTTTGAAGTAGAAGTTCAGCACGTTCTTGTTCTCCTATTTTACGGCTTAAGGATGTAAGTTTAGAAAATAAGGTGTTCAGTGTATTTAAGTGCTCCGTCACTGAAGTAGATTCTGGCATACGGAGAGTGTACAATTTCCTCTTAAGGAAAATTTTATTGTGCAACGATGTGGCCTCGTACAATTTGGTGAGATGATCCCATATCTCCTTAGCTGTCTTTTTCTCCTCGATGCTTGAAAATACTTCATCTGCTAATGCTAGATGAAAGTTTGTCATAGTATTTCCGTCAATCTCGTTCAATTTGATGTCATCTGCGAAATCCATCGGCCTTTCATTGATAGCCGCTAGACACCCGTCTTTCCTGAGGATGGCCTTCATCTTCAATTTCCACAATGAGAAATTTCTCCCATTGAACTTTTCAATGTCAAATTTTGTTGCCATAGCTTCTATTTCGGATAGCTCCCACTATTTCACTATCGTGAATAGTTCTCTAGAACCATCAAAGAATAGGTAATACCTTCTTACTTTCTTATGTTGGAGGATCTACCTTTTGGTGGCAACCACAAAGACAATAAGCATATATTACACACTCAAATCTGGCTCGGATACCAATTGTTGCGTAAGACGGCTATCGGATAGAGCAAAATCGCAACTGATAATTTGAGAAAATAAAAATGAAGATAAAGAAGACACAAAATTTACGTGGAAAACTCCTAAATAATATAGGGTAAAAACCACGGGCTACGATAGAAGAATTTCACTATAAGAAAATAAGAATTACAACTTCTCTCGATCGACCAAGGAGAAAACAATGATAATTCTCTCTTGATAAAAAGGAGAAAACAACTCTCAAGAAACTCTATAATTTCTCTCTAGTATTGGAAGAAAGCTAGAATGCTTTGGGATGATTTTGAAGCTAAATGAGCTAGGGTCTTTATAGTTGAAACTTAATGACTAATCTTGTAAATACCCTAAAATTAAAGTGACTAAATTGGGTATTTTACCCTTGCTAATTTTCAACAACTTGCAGCCATTTTAGACCAAAAATAGCCGCCCATGTTGCTTAAATCAGCCAACTGCCCATGTTGCTTAAATCAACAATCTCCACTTGCACATTCGATGTTGACTTTTAACATAGTTGTGGTACAATCTTATATGAATAAAATAATAATTAAATTTAATGCTAATGACTTCAAAACATTAATATAATCATTAAAAAATCCTTTATGATGTTATTAAATTAATTAAATGATATGTAAAATACAAAATTTGAATGAACAATTGAAATAATAATAATAAGCATATTAAGATTTCAGATAAAGAAAGCTCCAAACATTCTAAAGATTAATAGAAAGATTAAACACTTAATTAAGCTGTCCTAAATTATCCTGTTTTACGGCGATAAACTTTCCCTTTCTGTATCCGACACGCATGAGGAAAATAAATCCTCTCTTAAATTTCACTCCCGAAGAAGAAAGTCTTACTTTAACAGGGAGATTAGATCAGCTCTCAAGTTTTCTATCATACTTTCCCTCAATCCAAACACTAGAAAAGGCGAGAAAAACTCGTCCAGAAAAGAAATTTTGAGCTTAAAAAAGGATGAAGAAATTAAGAACCTGTTACTCGCAGTTTCGTCACAACAGCAATCAAGCAATGGAGCGAAAATGGATCTTGCCGTTAGCTGTTGGCTCCATCGTTTCATTGTTTCTACTCTTTATAACAACTTTAACCTCTTTCGATGGCTCCCCGTTTCTTTTCTTCTACCATCCCTCCGCCGTAATCGGCGGTTCCTCCCCTTTCGTGGAGAGCCAACTCAAACCCATCCCTGTCTCAACTCTCCCTCCACCTCCCCGCTTCGCTTACCTCATTTCGGGCTCCGCCGGCGACGGTCGGATGCTGAGGAGGACCCTTTTAGTCCTTTACCATCCTTTGAATCAATACGTGGTTCATCTTGACCGGAAAGCTAGCTCCGAGGAGAGGCTCGATCTGGAGAAGTATGTGAAAGATCATCAAGTGTTTAATAGATTTGGGAATGTTAGGATGATTGTGAAAGCTAATTTGGTTACTTATAGAGGTCCTACTATGGTTGCTAATACGCTTCACGCTGCTGCAATTTTGTTGAAAGAAGGTGGAGACTGGGATTGGTTTATTAATCTCAGTGCTTCTGATTATCCCCTTGTTACTCAAGATGGTGAGTTTGGATCCTTTTCTGGTTGAAAATTTCCCCATCTTCAACAAAAGTTTCCTTTTTTAATTTCATTTCTTTGTAATTTTTGACATTTGGCTTTGGGATTTTGGTTATTTTTTCAGATCTGTTCCACACATTTTCATACTTGCCGAGGGATCTGAATTTCATTGATCATACAAGCAATATTGGGTGGAAAGAGTGAGTGATTTTAAAGCATTAAGATTTCAATTTTCCTCATAGTTTCCACTTTTGGGTATCTTTTATTTATGGGAACTGAGTGACCATTGGTTTTTTTTTTTTTTTAAATGGCAGGTCGCATAGAGCAAAGCCAATTATTATAGATCCAGGGTTGTATAGTGTGAAAAAATCTGATGTGTTTTGGGCTACTCAAAGGAGAAGTGTGCCTACTGCATTCAAACTCTTTACAGGCAAACATCCTCAAATCTTCAACTTTCTTAAAGTTTTGTGTTAGTTATATTTAATTATGATTAGTTAATGGTTATTTAATGATCTCTGATAGATTTGAATGATCCTCTTAGATAATGTTCAACTGAAATTGTAATATGAAAATCTAGTTTTCGATTGGTGATTATTTACCGAGCAAATTAGAGCTCACATTCACAAATCTGAATGTTATATTTTCATGATCTGGGTTTCAACCGTTATTTAACTGAGCTGAAATTTGAAATGAGGGCAATTTGGTGGACTACAGAGATTATACGACATTCCTTCTCGTGTTCTCTTCTTCTTTCCCATTGTTCATCGTAATTTGACTGTGTTAGACAGATAATTTTATGCATGTTCATCATCGCCAATCTTCCCGTTATCTCATGAACTTAATCTATTAGATAACCATAGACGTTTGCCGTGTTCGTCATTAGGTGGTATCTCTGACATGTATCTCTTTTCTGTAATAGGCTCTGCTTGGATGGCACTTTCTCGATCTTTCATCGATTACTGCATTCGGGGATGGGACAACCTACCTCGAACCGTCCTCATGTACTATGCTAACTTCTTATCGTCTCCGGAAGGTTACTTCCACACCGTGATTTGTAATGCTCAAGAATTCCGCAACACTACTGTAAACAGTGACCTCCATTTTATATCGTGGGATAACCCTCCTAAGCAGCATCCTCATCTCCTCAAGCTTGCCGACATGGAACGGATGATTAACAGCAATGCCCCTTTCGCAAGAAAGTTCCCTTGGGATGATCCGGTGCTAGACAAGATCGACTCCGAGATCTTGTCTCGGGGTCCTGACATGTTTACTCCCGGTGGTTGGTGTGTAGGAAGCGCGCAAAACGGAAGTGATCCTTGTTCTGTTATCGGTAATACAACAGTCATCAAGCCTGGCCCTGGAGCAACAAGGTTGGAAACCTTGATCAGTGCTCTTCTATCCAATGACAATTTTCGACCGCGGCAATGCAAATGATACCATCAGAAACTTGGTTAGTGGGGCACTCATACCGGTTAGGGTTCGGTTATACATAAATCAGAAGACGAAGATGAAGTCGGTGCATCAAGTGTTCAGCATAAAATTATGGATTACAAGTTACCAAAATGGATAAACTACATTAACAGTTACTGAACTTTTAGGTTGCTACTAATTTCGTCACCAAAATAATTGTAGTTCAAAAATATTACTCAATTGTTAATTAACGACATCTGAGTGAGCATGTTTACATGTCATTCTCTTTAATAAAATAATATCATTTAATAAGGTGGTTGATGAAGAAAATGAAGGAATAAGGATTACTAAGGACCCTTAAATATATTAGTTTTATAAACGAATTGTATATAATTAATATATTTCAATGAGAATAAAATCACATAATTTAGTACAAAATTAAACGAATTTTATATACCTCTTTATCAAGGGTTTATGTTAGGAGTCTAAACAATCCAAGTTAATTTTGAGTATACGTGAGTTTAACTTGACTCGAAAAATTTTAATTTACATTCGACTCGATTAAAAAAAAACAAAGTTTGACTACTGGTCCGTGCCCGTATTTTGGACGGGAAAGCATGAATGGTTATCTAGTAACGGAGTGTTGATCCATTTCCAGAAATCAGGGTTTGCAACTGCAATCTTTCGAGGGTGAATCAATCGCGTGGATCAACATGAAATACCTCCTGCTTTCATCACAGTATTTGTTTGGTCTTTAATTTTATTTTCTACTAAATTCTTGGCTTTATTTTAGGTGTAGTGTTGAAAACACATTACTTTTGCACCGTCTCGTGCCCCAAATTTTGGCCTTTAACTGAAACCTGAGCCCACCCTTTAGTCTGAATTATTTTTCAAGTAAAGAAGTTAATGACAAAAATCAATAAAAATAAAATTATTGCTGGGATCAAATGAATTGCAGCTGTTATAAGCGGATCACATTTTTTTTTTATTTAAGTAAAAAGACGAATAAAATTGATGTGATTTTATTGAGGTCGCATCTTCTTCTTTCGAACTTAGTTGAGAAATGTTATAATGAGTTTTGGAGTTGATGTCAAGTAGGGATATGGAGGCTATTGGTAAAGAGGTTTAATGACGCAGAAGGATGACACTGAGACCGAAGGGCAACCAGCAATGACTTAAAATAAGAAGTCAGTGTCAACCCTCCTGCGACATCACACCTTCAACTCCTCTCTTTCTCTTTCTCTTTCTCTTTCACTTGCATTGTTGCCCTCTCGCCCATCATAACTATTTATAGTGTATAATTTCAATGATTAAGCAAAACAAAAGTACATTCTTTTCCAAAGAAAAAAGCTACGAAGAAGGTGATGAGAAAAAACCCTAAACGATACTCGAATATTCAACAAAGTTGAGCATCTTCTTCTTCTTCTTCTTTTTATCTTTTATCATTTCACAATGGAAGCTTGTTAGTAATTTACTTGCATTTATACGTAAATAAATACTAGTCGATTGAAATTAATCTCTCCCTCCTAGAAATTTCGTGCATTGTTCATTTCGTTGAAGCCAACAAGAACATGAAAATGAGTTGCTTTAGTCGGGATTATGATATGGGGAAATCTTAACCAAATTGTATTTCGTGCATTGTTCATTTCGTTGAAGCCAACAAGAACATGAAAATGAGTTGCTTTAGTCGGGATTATGATATGGGGAAATCTTAACCAAATTGTACTTTGTTGAATTTCTTATTCATGGCGTCCGTTTTTGCTTTAGGAAGGGTTGACCAAGTCATGTAGCTGCGAAAATGGAAGGTGGTTGATCCATTGTGTGTTTTTATTTTGCTTGTGGTTCATGGAAGGAATCAAATGTATGTTTATGGATCAACTTTCTGAATTTCGCTTTAGAATATATTCTATTTAATTCGTCATATCTTACTTTCAAAGTATATTCTTATGAAATTCACACATAATAAAAGTTAAATAATAAATCTAAATTAAAAATTTACATGTACCCATCGATCAGCCTCAGTTATTTTTTTGGCTTAATACCAAAACAAATCTCCAAAATTATACTCTTTTTCCTTAATAGGTGTCTAAACTATTTTTTGACTCATCCATGTGTCTAACGTTACAAATATTACTCACTTAAGTGATCGGATCGTCAAAGACGTTAATTTCACCCATTAAGTGACGCATGTCACAATTTGGTAATTTATTTTTTAAAATATTAAAAATATTATTATATTTATAAAAAACCCTAATTTCTCTTAACTTATAAAATAGCCCCAAATCCTAACCTTAACCCGCCGTCGCTACCCTTTCCATCCATGACCACCACCATTGATGTAGTCCACGCCATCCTCCTAGTTATATACTGCCGTAGTTGCCGCCGTAGTTGCCACCGATTGGCCTTCGGAATCATGTGGGATCGTGATTTTCAACATAGGGTTCGCGAGGTATAAAACGGAGATTCATTGTTGATAGGCCGTTGATCGGTCATGATTTCATAAGGATTTTGTTTGTCGGGGGGGGGGAAGGAGGTTGGGTGGAGCTTCGTCGATGGCAATGGGCGGTGGGCGCCGTAGGTTTAGGGGTTGAAATGAAGGTTTTCAAAGTTTCGGGTTTATTTCAAAATTTGTGTGTTTAAAAAAATATAAATAATTAATTTTAAATAAAATTTTAAAATTTATTGGATTGTAACACGTGTCACTTAACATGAAAATTAACACCACTGACGGCTAACATTTGTAACGTTAGACACTTGGATGAGTCAAAAAATAGTTTAGACACCTATTTAGAAAAAACGATATAGTTTAGACTATTATTTTAATATTAAGCCTTAGTTATTTTAAAAGTTAGGTTGCGTTTACATAGTTATTTAAAAAGTGAGGTTGCGTCTACCTGGTTTATGTATATTATTAATAGATTTAAAAATTCTAAACAAATATTCTTTTACAATCATCACAAACTATTAAAAAAAATTATATTTTACATGTAATATTTATACATAAACATCAAAAATCAAAAACCTAAAATTTACCATTGAACTAAAATAAGTAACTAATTGAAAAAACTCATATGTGAGCGTGGATACGAAAAATTCCATAGTAGACACCATCAGTAAAATAAATAATTAATCGAAGAAAATTCGGAGTTTACGGCTCCACCTTTGATAATACCAACCTTGTATAAGCCTGCAGAGCATTGAGCAAGCAAGCAGCAATGTGAAGAAAACCAGAAAAGATGAGAGAATGCGATGAATCCTGGCGCAGAGAGATGATGTGTATCTCAAAAAACATAATAAATGAAATAGACACCATCTCCCTTGCGACAGGATTCCATCTGCATCTCTTTGCTGTCTAAAAGCTTTAACAAATCTGCATTGCTGTTTTCCCAATCTGGCTCACGTATATATATATATATATGCAAAAAGATGGTGCATGACATGTAGAAGAAAGAGTTTGAAAAATTCTTTGGTCCATACAACACGACGAGAGCCCTAATCACACGTCAAACCATCAATTAAAAATGCTCACCTCAAACCCAAGAAAAGTTGACTGCAGATCCCGTCAACCCTTGACCTGATCAAGTGAAAACACTTTACAATTTTTGATTTAAAAAGTATATTATAATGCATGGAAATTTGGTGGGGGGAAAGGTTGGTTTTGGCGGGCAAGTGTGGCAAGAGTAGACTTTGTTGTTCCCAATTTCACACGTGTTCAACATTGTTGAAAGGGATTTAATCAATATGTTTAAGCCGGAAATTAGGACTTTATTTATGTATTGATTATTGAAATTCTAGAAATAAGACTACAAATTAAATTTCGCTTTTGATTAATATTCTCCAATTTCACAAGACGACCTTAACTTTTAGTAGGGCCATCATTTCCTCTCTTTTTTTTATACACAATTTTCGAACAAAGAATTTTGCATTAAAACTAAGGAAAATAAGGCCTTAATAGGCACGTTAATTTGTTAGGCCCAAGCCACAATGAAGGATTAGTGGAATAATACAATATTAATGAATGCTGGTTTAAGTTAGGCCCAAAATAAAAAAATTAGGTGATCTTATTCTCATATATAACAGGGTAAGAGGAGATAGGGTAGTAGGCCCACAACGTAGAAATATCATACATAAATCAAAACGAAATTGCCTGAAAACAATCCTTTATCGAACTGAATTTTCATCTCCAATCGTGTTTTCAGAAAATCCCCGGATCAATGTCGTTTCTTACATGCAACATAATTCACTGTCTTTGGCTTGTTTTGCAGATTCCAGAGCCAGAATCAGGCTTTCCAAACATGTCCGAGGATCCCCCGGTGCAGATTTCGGCATCAAATGTTCAGCCACATAAGCTGGAGTCATTTTAACTTGGTCCAACAAATCCTGAATCCTGGGAAACAAATCATGTCGTTCAATCTCTCGATAGTTCTTTGCCAACACCTTGAATGCTTCAAATCCACAGTACGACAATTCAATATGCTTATCCATTCGACCTTTTCTGATCAAGGCCGGATCCAGTTTCTCGACGAAATTCGTCGTGAAAACGATCAATCTTTCAGCCCCACAAGCCGACCAAAGGCCGTCGATGAAATTCAACAGCCCCGAAAGCGTAACATGACTGGTTCTCGGTTCATCTTTGTTTCCCTTCTGCCCCGGATCTTTCATTTGTTCATCATCTTCTTCTTGTTTCTCCTTCTTTTTCCTCCTCTGACCTGTTAGATCGAGTGAACAGTCGATGTCTTCGATGACTATGATCGATTTACTCGATGTGTCAATCAACAGTTTCCTCAGTTCGGTGTTGTCTTTCACGGCGGTTAACTCGAGATCATAAATATCGTACCCTAAAAGATTGGCCATTGCAGCTATCATGGTGGATTTTCCAGTACCCGGTGGACCGTAAAGAAGATAACCCCTCTTCCAAGTCCGACCGATTCGAGAATAAAATTCCTCCGATTCACTGAAAGTAACCAAATCTTCCATAATCTCCTCCTTCCTGTATGGTTCCATCGCTAATGTCTGAAACGTAGCTGGGTGCTCGAACACAACATGGCTCCAATTCGACCCATTGTTCGCATAAAGCTTCCTCTGTCCGTTTGTCACCTTGATCGCCTTCCCTTGTTTCAAAACATGTTTCAGATACGGTTCGATGACTAAATCCCTGTTTCTTTTATGGAAAGTAAGCTTGTAAAACCTTTTCTCATCGGCCGTGAACGGATAGAGTGAAAACGACTGCGCTTTGGCAATATGTTAACCGGAAGTCCACCATAGCTTTACACCTTGAAACTCATCGGCAACTTCTTCGTTTTCGTCCATACTGAGAACGAGAGACTGATTGTTCTTCACCATGTCGGCTTTGAGTCTCTTGGCTTGGGAAGAGGAAGTGGAGGTGAGGTAGTTTTCAATGGCGGAATAGGCTTCGCTCCTCATCAGACGTTCACCGGTGAATTCGTTGAACGTAATCTGAATGTAGGGATAAATCAAAGCTAACAATCTCTGGGAGTACTTTTCGATGGAGGTTCGGAATTGGTTGAGGAAATATAGCTGGAATATTGCCCAGATGAACATGAAAGTAGCAAAAATGGATCCTAGATGAGTAATTATCATGTCTGTAGGGGGGATTTTTGGAAACGAAGGGTTTATCATTATCTGGTTAGTGCATGATTGATTTGCAGACTTTTGTCTTATAATTTCCAAAAGTCGGCAAAACTTAAAAGGTAAAATTGACCAAACCTTATGAGCTAAGAAAAAAAAAACAAATTTCACAAAATATCTTTAAATAACGACATCCTTATAAATTAATCTTTCAATTTTAAAATATTTTATATCAATTACTAAACCATCACTTAATGTATATTAGTCTCTAAATTTTAAATTAACATATATCAATCTCCAAACTATCTATTTTGATCCTTTTATTAATGTGTTATTAGTTTTTGAAGGTATTGGAACTTGAAGGTGTGATCTTCTAAAAAATTAATATGTTTTGGTCATGAGTTCAATTTAAATAACTTTTAAAAATAAATTAAAAATTTCTAACCAGTAAAACTAACGCCACGTTAGAGTAAGGATTGGAATAGGTGATATTAATAGTTTAAATATTGTTATAAAATGTTTTAGAATTTAAGGATTAATTTAAAATGAGATCATATTTTAGAGACTTATATAAAATATTTTAAAGTTTAAGAATGAATTTAAGAAAGAATGAATTTAAGATGGAATGGTAATTTGAGGATTGATATAAACTATTTTAAAGTTTAGTGATTAATATAAAATAAAATCATAATTTGAGGACATGCTGTGAAATTGTATAAGAAAAAAATGATGCATCGTGCTTGATGTCGGTGATTTTCCCCAGGTAGGGGAAAATAGGTAAACCATGTTGCTTCCTCTCTAAGATTTTGTGTCTGGCTATTAACATGGGTTGGACTATGCATTGGACCCATTAAGTAATTTGAATTGTTTGGACCATTGGATCTTTATCAAATGTTGGATTATCCAAATCACGGTCCTGAACTTCTGAAGCACCTAATTTAATCACGTTGGAATGTCGCTTTTAACACACCATCCTTCATTAGTAACACATTATACAAACATCATAGGTTAGTATAATGTGTTATTACCTCAATGCTTAAAGGAATTGTTGTTGTTTTTAAAGGTCATGGATTCGAACACCAACAGCTATAACACGGTATAGCAACAACTTCAACAATCCCACGATACTCAGTAAAGCCTTGAGCCATACAACTTTAGCAACAACTTCAGCAATCCCACGATAATCAGCTTCAGTAGTGGAACGAGAGACTGAGCGTTGACGTTTGGACAACCAAGAAATAGGATTTCCCCCAAGGAACACACAGAAGCCAGAGATAGAACGGTGATCATCAACATTGCTTGCACAGTCGGCATAGGCAAAGGCTTCAAGTTAAAGACCGACGCTAAACTTGCTAAACATTAACCCATAATCAAGAGTCCTACTGAGATAACGAAGAATGCATTTCACAACTTTCCAATGTTGTTCATATGGAGCATGCATATATTGTACATTGAAGGAAATGTCTGGTCATGTGTGATTGAGATACAAGAGAGCTCTCACAATACTTCTATACATCTGCGTATTCGATAAAGGACTGCCACCATCTTTACATGATTTGGGAGACATCACCATTGTTGTAGGGACGGGATGAGCATCACACATAACAACTTTGTCAAGTAATTCAAGAATGAATTTTTTTGTCGTAAGACAAGTGTCTGATCATTTCGACTTGCTTCCAAACCGAGAAAGTAAGTTAATTCCCCAAAGTCTTTAAGAGAGAATTCATGACCTAAGAGTGTCACGATTTGTTCAACATCCCCATCATCATGGCCCGTGATGATAATATCATCAACGTAAATGAGAATATACACTACCTTATCATCAACCTGGAAAATAAATAGGGAGACATAAACTTGAGTACCATGAAAACCAATTCGTATTAAGCAGGCACGTAACTTGGCATACCATTGGAGAGGAGCATGCTTTAGACCATACAACATTTTCTCTCATTTGTAAACCAGCTCAGAGTCATCATAAACACATTTTTCAAACCCCGGAGGTTGTACCATATACACTTCCTCATTGAGATCTCCATTAAGGAACACATTGTTAACATCAACTTGTCGTGATCTCCACCCATGCATTATGGCCAATGACAAAATGACCCTCACAGTGGATGGTTTAATAACAGGACTAAATGTATCATGAAAGTCCTGACCAGGAACTTACGCAAAGTCTTTAGCTACAAGTCGAGCTTTGCGCCATGCAATCGACCCATTGTCATTCTTCTTAAGTCGGAATAACCATTTACATCCGATAGTAATCTTCCCACGAGGTAAGGAGACCAATCGCCATGTGCCATTATGAACTAGTACATCATACTCGGCTACATCAGCTTCCTTCCATACAGGTGATAGCAACGCCTATTGAATTGTAATTGATTCATCGCCATCCATTATAGCATTTACATAAAAACTTTATGTTTGAATGTTCCCACTTTGCTACTGGTAACCATGTGATGGACATTGAAAGATGAGGGCAAATGAGCATGTATTGTATGCTCATTAGTGGCTTCAACTTGAGGCAATACGTGGACTGCATGAGGAGTGGCATTGGAGCTAGCTATCATATTCTCAACCGCATGACTGGTTCGCACATGAGCAGGGACACGATTTTGAGAACTAGAATTTATTGGCATGACATCAGCATGCTCCATGAATCCATCAGCAGCTGATCCAGGACAAGAATTCAAAGAAGGTGTATCTGCACCCATTCATGCCATATCATTACGCGAGTTTGTATTAGATGCAGGATTGCCATGCGAATGAGAAGAAACAAGGCCATGAGTCAACTGTTTGGCTCCCAAAACCTCGACAATCTCGGTGAACAATATCGAAAAATGGATAGGTGGTGGCTCTACAACCTGTCCTGCAAAAGGAAAAGTGCTTTCATCAAATTGCACATGCCGAGAAATGAAAATCCGACCATCTGAAGCTAGGCAAAGATAACCCTCATGTTGCACACTATATCCCAAAAATGTGCACACGTGCGAGAGGAAAACAAGTTTGTGGGACTGAAATGGGCGAAGATATGGGAAACAACGACACCCGAAGACACATAAGTGATCATAGTTTGGAGTTCTTCCAAACAGTTTGCTAAACGGAGAAAAACTATAGAAAATTCATGTAGGTAATCTGTCGATTAAATAGACAGTTGTGACGACAACGTACGACCAATACTTGAGAGATAACGATGCTTGAGCGAGAAGAGTGAGAGCCATTTCAACAATAGGGTAGTGTTTACGCTTAACGACCCCATTTTATGTGAGGACAAGTGACCTTGTGTCATTGATCTTCATTGATCTCCATATTGAACTGTACATGAACATCGTTGGAACAACTTGAAAGCATACCAAGCTTGGGATTTGTCTTTCCGCAAATAAACCCAAGTGTACCTGGTACATGCATCAACACATGACAAATAGTATCGATATCCGTTTGAAGCAACGTGAGGAGGTCCCCATAAATCCCACAAATATTAAATGAAATGGTTATGTATAATCAGTAATAGATGGAAAGTAAGGTAATGCATGACTTTTCCCAGATTGACAGGCAACACAAACAAAATTTTCATTAATCAAGGTTCTATCAACATTACATCCTTTACATACTTTGATTAACGTATCTCGGGAGGGATGTCCCAACTGTTGGGAAATAAACAGAGTAAACGAGTAATTTTTCTATAACCAAATTAGTGAGAATGCGAAATAAAAGCGGAAAAATAATACCCGAAAAATTGATAATGGAGTTCAGCCAATTGTGCCTACGTCTCCGGACTGTTGCAGATCTTTTACTAAGAGAGAAATTTATAGGTGTTTACAAAACACTCGCTACTCACAAAAAAGCTCTCTAGTCTTGTTATTCTAGCATGCCAACTGAAGCTGAACACAACTTCAGTTTGTCCGTGGTCACCGTCTTTGTCAACATGTCTGCCGGATTTTGAGCTCCACTAATCTTTTCAAGTTTCAAAATCCCATCTTCCAGAAGAGACCGGATAAAATGATATCGCAATTGTATGTGTTTCGTCCTGGAATGAAAAGACGGATTCTTTGCTAGATGGATAACACTTTGACTGTCACAATACAAGACATTGTTTTCTTATTTCTTGCCTAACTCTTCCAAGAAACTTTGGAGCCAAACCATCTCCTTGTTGGCTTCCATTACAGCGACATATTCTGCTTTAGTTGTGGAGAGAGCAACTATCTTCTGTAGTTGAGAAACCCAACTCACTGCGGTTCCTCCTAGAGTATAGACATACCCTGTAGTGCTCATTCTGATGTCAATATTTCGGCTAAGTCAGTATCTACATAGCCTGTTAGTATCGTATTTCCACTTTTGAAACAAAGTGCTTTGTTTGTAGTACCTCGTAGATATTTGAGGATCCATTTAACAGCTTCCAGTGTACCTTGCTTGGATTATTCATGTACCTACTAACAGCTCCCACTGCATGATCAATATCTGGTCTGGTACAAACCATGGCATACATTAGACTTCCAATTGCTGAGGCATACGATACCTTCACCATGTGTGCACGTTCTTCCTCCGTCTTTGGTGACTGTTCTTTGGAGAGTCTAAAATGAACACCTAAAGGTGTACTTACTGGTTTAACATCTTGCATGTTGAACCTGAAGAGTACTTTCTTGATGTACTCAGCTTGTGATAACATCAAAGTCCCCGACTTTGTGTCTCTCTTAATCCTCATCCCAAGAATCTGCTTTGCAGCGCCCAGATCCTTCATAGCAAACTGCTTCGACAATTTTTGCTTCAAGTTTATAATCTCTTGCATGTCTGAGCCTGCAACGAGCATGTTATCAACATACAACAATAAAATAATAAAGTTATTTTTGAACCTCTTGATGTAGCAACAATGATCTGCTTGGCATCTGGTAAAACCACTGCTACTCATGAAGCTATCGAACTTCTTGTACCACTGTCTAGGAGCTTGTTTTAAACCATACAAGCTCTTCTTCAACCTACATACTAGATTTTTCTTGCCTGCCTCTATGAAGCCTTCTAGCTGCCTCATATAGATTTCTTCCTCCA